CTCTTGCGGCTCAGGTCAAACAGAAACGTCTCCTCCCAAAACGGGTTAGCGTTGACACTGGTCGGCGTCGTGTGCTTCCGCGAAGGTTCGTCAATTTCAATCACCACGTATGGCTGGTACACCACTGAAACAGACGATAAACTGTCAAACGTAAGGGTCTTTGAGGTGGTAGACGAAACGACAGGAGTAACAGATTATATACACACGACCTAACAGCAATGATGCCCTTCCTTTCCTCTTGTATTGTTCTGCTTTTCATGTTATGATATGTTGTTCAGTTTGTTATTTGTTGTCATCTTTCTTGGTTCAAAGTAGGCTATTGATCACTTGCCTTACTTCCCTCAAGATAATTTCTGTCCATATGCTAAAAATAATCTACCTCTTGTTCTTCGATAAAAACATTCAAAGAAGAAAGAACTAGGTTTTTAAAACAAGTCAATAACAGCTGTTTTATCAGCAAGTAAAGTATGTGACAGAAAATGAGAGAAATGAAAAAAAAAGTAAAAAAGGAAAACATAAACGAAAAAAATAAACGAAAGGAGATCAGATAGTGAAGACTGAGTTACTGAGGATGAGATTTCAAATAAACAAAAATTTTGACAACTTAACTGCTCTTTGACACGGGTTGAACCGTATGCATTGATGAGGGCAAATGAGGATCTTTAATGAAACCGACAGTAGTGCTGTTACAGCCTAAGATCTTCACGTCCTTGCTACGAACACGGTGTCGATTGCCAACAGAGTGGTTAAAAATAGCAGCATGTTCTTAATGTTAATGCTAGAAGGCTGCCATACGATCCCGGAAGCTCTTAGAGCGTGAAGAAACACCACTGTTGGTCTCATGATACGCAAATCCGTAATCATGTCTGCATTCTGTGCAGCCTGTGTAAACGAGACGTTAAGTTCCGAAGATCTTACGCGCAGTTGAGATCTGATCCTTAATAATTTAGCTTCTATCATCTGATCTGTTTTTATTTTATTCTTTATTCTTTCCTTTCATTTTATGCCCATCATTTTTCTTGCTAATGTTATATTTCTTCGTTGCAGTGATTAAACAATTAATCAGTCGATCATTGTTATACGTGAGTGTCATAATTTTTCCGTACAATATTAATTTCCACTGAAATTATTTTGGAAAATCGTGGGGGTTCCGAAAGATTCATTTGATGAATATATTTTTCCAGGCTCTAACGGTCTCATCATACGTAACCTTGACGATGACCTTCAATCCATTTGAATAACTTTCGTACTTTTCTTAAATGAACCATGATTGCCTAGGCGGTAGAGCGTCAGATACATCACAATCGCGAGGTCCTGGGTTCGAGCATCTGCGAGAGCAATTATCCCTTACCTTTCACC